GAATGCTATTTACAATCGATCCTAGTCCTGGGCACAGAAAGGCTTAAAAGCCTTTTTCATGCCAATACTAGTCATATAATGTCACACATATACACGCACAATCGAAAAACTGTAATCTTGACTAAAATTACTTGAAAGAGTAATTTTCTGACACAAATGCCATAACATTCTACCTAGATATAGAAAGAAAAGCAATAAGACCACGAAAAATCCCGCCCAGGAAGAGTTAATTCCGTTATATACTAAATAAAACCATAAGCCTTGCTTACTGGGCTACTTCATAAACCAGTCATTTGTGAACAATTACTTTAAACCATCAGGCCATTCGCTAGCCTGAAAAACCGGAGAGTGGAGAATGGAACGCTCTATCTCCCCGAAGTCTGTTCACTGTAAACAGTCCATCCCTTCCTGCTGACTCCAAAAGCTGTATAAACATACTGCAATCAAACTCACTAAAGCTCACAGAAACCCTTTCTTTAAGTAATCTACGAAATGCCAATCTCATACAAATACAAGAAAGAGAAGTTCTTACTAACACAACATTCTGTATTTACAGTATTCTGAACAGTGCTTCAACCTGCAAGGGTTATATAAAAGGCACCCCCCTACGCTGCCGCCCAGCCCAGGCAGACGCTTAGTTCTCTCATTTACACCACACTGCAAGAACATAAAGAGGGGTTTACTATTAATCCAGGTTTTACTACAAAGCGACCCGTTATTTCTCTGTCAAACACTGGCAAGAGTGCCAAGTGTCTGTCATCCAATTCAGGGGATTAAGTCTTCTTTTATAGTCTGATACTTGTACCAATTTATAAAAATACAGATATAGTTTCGGAAAGTTGGTCACAGTCCATATTTTGGCTGAGATTCAGGCAACCAGGGCTGACTATGACAGCTGGCAGGAAACCCAGGAGGGAACGCATCCTCCCCCTTCAGCCATCACATCTCAGTTGCCATGGCGATTAATCCTTGATTGAATGCTGTCTTTGTACATTTCTTTTCAGAAAACTTTAAGCAAACTTAAGTTGAGAACATGCAGTTGATTGAAAAAAAGAGACACCACATCACAAACAGGTAGAATTAACTTTTGTGACACACTTCCATATATTAAAAGAACAAATTAACTCTAATAAAGGTATTATCAGTTCCTTCAAAATGTCTGAGATATTTCTTTTTGGCCTGAGCTTAAACCTAAGTCACACAGGTTTTCCTTCCCAATATCAGACATCTCACCTTTTGAAATGAACTGTTTCCAGAAATAATTCTAAAATGTCTAAATATAATTTAAGGCAAACATGTTCTTGTTTTGCACAGTATTTTACATACTTTGTATTATCAAATAACAAAGGTATAATTAGAAATTTATTTTAGGAGAGGTAGGTTTTAATTTAGGACATCCATAAAATATTTCTATATGTAAAAATTAAAAGTATACACTATAAGAAACCAAAGAAAACATGAAAAAGATAGTATATTTTAGGCCTTTTCTTAACACATGGTTGAGTGAGAAAAGGAGATTCACAGTTTTTGTCATTTTGGTTCTCAAAAATTGCTGTACATCAACAGTACTGAGAAACTATGAAAGACAATAGGGTTTTACCTAGAATTACAGTGTTTATCACTTCTCTTTTGCAGTTTTTCTATTTAGTATATTCCTTTGCAATTGAGTTAGAGGCTCTAACACAGGCTCAGTGACGGTATTCCTCAGAAAGCGAAATACTGGTAATACGTGGCTACTGTTATGTGTCTATCGGTTTCATACAAATAAATAGGCTTTGTATCTTCTTGGAAAGTGAGGCAACATCTGGCTGCACACATATACATGTGCGTGCACACACACACAATCTTTTCAAACACAAGCAAAGTTCTTTAATAAAACTTTGATGACAGACATGAAGCACTCAGAAGAATTCTCAGTAATCACAAAGATTCTGGATTGAGCTCCAGATGAAAGATACTGTACTGTAGGTGGGAGGTCTGCGGCTTTTGGAGACTTCAGGATCAAGAGGCTTGCAGGTATTTTCTAACACTATGACTGAGCTTCCTTTGTTTCTGCTTCGTTTCCCTTTCCCCTTGTTTATTCTCTTTTCTTCTCATGACTATTCTTAAATTTGTTCGGAACTGCAGACCACCATTGCCACCCACTGCCTCACTACAAGCTGCAAAACCTCTCAGTGAGTGACACAGGTTCTTCAACCAAAGATGACGGTGTGTTTCAAGGATTTCCTCTTTAAAGGTATTGAAGTGATATTGATCAAATGATACAATCATTGATTGAGGATTTTTTTAATTCTCAGAAATTCTGTGAGATGGCTTTGAAACGCTGGAATGGAACTTTACCGTATCAAGTAGTGACTTATAGAAGTCAGTCACTGAAGTCATCCATTACCGGGATTGGCCCAATTATGTGACCTTTCACATTAAAAATTGTTTGTCTGTTTGTAGACTTTCTTCTGTCTACTAGCCTTGGTGACATGAAATTGAACCTTCTACTTAGTGTCTTTAAAACTTCCCTGAATGGTTCAGACCCACCATAATTTAATCACAAAACAAATAATTTCCTCATCTTCCCTGAAAAGTTGGCACATGTATGAGGAAGATACATGTCCTTGAAGGGTATGTTAGAGACCCTAGGAGGTAGATATTCCAATCTGTTTCCTAACAAGAGATGCCCCAGACTGAAAATCACTGTAAGAGGCAAGATTTCTCATGAGATTGTGTAGCACATCTCAAAAGTACCGGGGCTGACAAAGGTTAGAGGCAAAGTAGATTTCTAGCATTTTCATTTTTACAACTTTACTTAAGAAGTTTCCATAGGGACTGTGTATTGCTTCTGTATCAAGGTGTTGTTTATAGAAACTAAATGTCCATAAAATTCTTCTCTGAGAAATATTTAGATAAGCTAGGGACCAAATATCCAGGTCGATTATTTCATTAGCATCTACTACAGGGCTTTGCCAAATTATCTGACCTTTTACATTAAAATGCGTTTGCTTGGAAAAGGACATGTTTTTTTAAAAGGGCACAGTTAAAAAGAAACACACCCTAATAAAAAAATCAGCTATCTGTTTAAAAGATTCTAATATATTCTGTATCCTAATAAAGCAAATTTCTGGAAAACCAATATTATTCTGCCTGCCTTTTTCAGATGACACCTACCAGGTCGTTAAGCTGTAGAAATGCTGTCTACTGCATTGACTGAGAGATGATACATTCCTGGATCAAATGAGAATACCAGTATAAAAAGCAGCATATTTGGGTCATGAAAGAATGGTTTCATGAGCTGTATTTTGGCACTGGGCCTGTGGATTACGGTGAAAAATGCTTAAAAGCCCAGTCTTGCAAAGTTCATTATTACATTTATTCTAAGGCTATTGTAAGACAACTGACTGTTTGCTAGATCATTCATGGCCCCATTTTTTAAATCCCAGGCGACAAGTTTCCTTCAAATTCAGTGCCAGGAAAAGCCTTGCTCCTCCTAGAACTGGCATTTTTTTTTGTTTTTGTTTTTCTTAAGGACAACCACTTCATTCAGCGTTTCTCAGCAGGCTGTTACGGCATTTTGGACAGAACAACTCTTTGCCAGTGGGACTGCCTTCCCATCTCCCACCTGGTCCCCTGTCCAGGAGAACCATTTAGTGTCTCTGGTGTCCAGACAGTAATGCCAGTCGGGTACTCAGTCACTGTAGTCACCCAAACTGCCCATACATATTTTCAAAAGCATGAGTTGAGAAATCACTAAATTAGGTAGCGTACTTTCTTTGTTTTGTCTGCCAGAAACTCTAATTTGCCATCTTAATATCTGGGTAGAACATTATGTCCTATATATTTACATTCTAACTTTCTTCCAGTCTTGAACTTCCAGTTTAATTTATTTTTATTAATTTATTTTTTTGAGTTTGAGTCTCACTCTGTCGCCAAGACTGGAGTGCAGTGGCCGCTCCCAGCCACCGCAGCCTCGACCTGCTGGGCTCCAGCGATCCTTCCGCCTCAGCCTTCCGAGTAGCCAGAATTATAGGCATGCGCTACCACGACCGGCTGATTTTTTGATTTATTGTAGAGATGAGGTCTCACCTGTCCAGGCGGGTCTCGAACCTGCGGGCTCAGGCAATCCACTCACCTCAGCCTCCCAAAGGCGCGGGATTACAGGCTGAGCCACTGAGCCCGGCCCAGTTTAATTTATATTCTTTCTAGTCCTTAATTTCATTTGTACTCTGGTTTTATTGTTAAGACAATTCAAATCTTCTGTCAAACCAGGTGAGGTACAAATAAATGAAGATAACTTGATAGTTCAGAGAAATAATCCCATTCATTTTTTAAAATAGTGCTAAATTGAAACATATCACTATTATATGCAGAATGCATTCTGAACTCTTACCTGCAAAGTGATAGTAAAATAACTTCTCAGGTACCTAGCTCTTAAAGACTAATAAGCCAAAGAGAAGAAAGTATTTTTAAAAAATCTTTGACAAAATTGACTGTACATGAACAAAAACTACCACATTTATACAAAACTTTATCTCCATACAACAGTAATTTATGTGGGGATAGTCCACAGGAAGCATTTATTATGTTTAACATTATAAACAACCTTTTGCTAAAATGTACATTCTATATGAAGCCAGTTTTTTGTGTCTTTATTTTAGATGAGAAATTTTGGAGAAAATCTTTCCTTTTTCCATATGAGCAGAAGTGATTTTGATTCAGATTTAACTGCATAATTCCCTCAAATTCCTCTTCATTTTGGGGTATAGGCAATTTTTTATTGAGGGAAACCATTAAGCAACTCAGTATTAATCAGCATTTAGATATACATCTATTGTTTAATCGAAAACATCTTTAGTCACTACAGTTCCCTAAATGGTGTTTTGTTTTTTAAACCTATTTGTACATCACTGAATAGCTACTTTTGAGGGAATTCTAAGAGAAGATCCCATTGAGCAGCTTCTGTGAGAAATGAGGTGAAAACTAAAGATGATATTAGTCTATATCTTTCTTACCTTAGAACTGCAAACAGCTATATTAGCAGGCAGCTGGGAAAACTGCTTCAACTCAAACACATCATGTGCCGCCCACCGACTCATGTGGTTTTCGGCTTTGCTGGATCCGATCACATTCTGGTTTGAGTGAATGTAAGCCACTTCCTGCATGCCACCTAGGAGGTAATGGATGTTTATTAAGTGATGTGCCATTACGAAGCAAAATGGTTTCACATGTACTTTAACAATTACCAGTTATTATACTAAAAACACATTATTCTTGCCTTATATTTAGTTTGTACATTTGGAAAAAAAACCTGAAAAGATAAAGAGTTCAAATATGTTGGTCTAGGTTACCTTGGAAATGATTTTTCCTTCTCATTAATACGAGAACTACTGAGTTTGGGTAATAATCTTTATATTTAAACCTAAAATGGAGTTTGGCCAAGAGAAAAGTCATGGTAGAGGATATTCTATATCATCTGTTTTCTTGGTAAATTTCAAAAAAAAAAAAAAAAAAGAAAGTTGTTTACTGATTTAAAGAGCAGTACTAACCTTATCTGTTCCTTTAAACATGTACTTGATTACAGTGATGGAATGGGAGCATGGGGTTTATGACCTGGGAGTTTCGTGTGGTTGGCTTTGCTCAGTTTTATTGTTTGTATTTTGTCTTTTTTGTACATATGCCCAGAGAATGTCAAGATGGGAGCTTTTTAGGAAATGAAAAAAATTAACTCATGGCTTTTATCTGAAAGAGGTTTTAAAAAATGGCTACAATTTTTATTGTTTTGTTTCTAAGCGCCTATAATTTATTTTTTAAATTGTGGTCATAAAAGGGAAGGCTAGAATTGAGGCCTGTAAAAGCTCCCTCAAGCAGCTCTGGCAGTGAACCTCAACTATGACCTTCAACACTTGTGCTGTTCCAGTCCTGAACCTCTTCAACCAGAAATTGCCAATCATGGAAACACAAGACGTTGTTAAATAATCTGACTAAAGAGCAACTAAGAACATTCTCCTTAAATTTCAAAACACCAGGTTCTATGGCACACAGTTTCAAAACCTTCAAAAGGATTCTTTTGGTAGAAAGTTCACTCTGTTTTTTCTTAATTTCGATGACACATTTTATGCATTATTCAAAATAGCATTAGTTCCAAACTAACTATTGACAACTTTTGCACAGCCAAAACTAAAACAAAACACAAAACAAAACTCAGCTGATTATTTAAAAATAGTATGTGCAATAATTCTTCAAATCAAAAATCTAGCATAAAAACCAAAAGATAAACCAGTACTTATTTACAATGGTACCAAAATATATATAATAATGAACATTTAAATGAGAATACTAATAACCACAAAAGAAAGTCTGATTTATAAATAAACCAAATGCAACCATTAATGTTTCTCTACCAAAATATCCATGTCTCTATCTCAGCTTCTTTGATATAGATTTTTGGGAATAAGTCAGACACTTGTGAAAACAATGCTAGCTCTTAAAATCACTAAACAGATTCTGGGCAGCAGGTGGTAGCAGGGGGAGTTGTTTTCAATCTCTCTAAATCCCTACACGAAAACAGACACAAGACAGCAAAACCCAACCTTTACAACAAAATTAAACAATGAGATACTTCCATGAGCCCTAAAGTACAAGCAGGTGGGGGCCATCCAGTAGTAGCTACAAACCCTGTGTGGTACTAGGGTCTTTGTGAAGGAGGAAGTAGCAACAGGGCACCTGGCAGACCTGAGAACAGGAGACCCCAGAACAGGCAACAGGTACTCACTGGAAAGCACAACAGGCCAGCCGGAGACCAGTAGCTGCATCTGGGAAGTTTTCCTGCCTCCTAGGGCTGACGGGGTGCAGGGGCACAGTCAGGGCTGAAGGGGCTGGCGCAGGCTGCCCCCTGGGAACTCCTCAGACTGGCTCACCAGGGCTCCCACCCAGGTCAGGACCCAACAAAGAGGAGAAACTGCCAAAAGGGAGTCAAAGTAAATAGGACAGGAAGAACACAGATGAGGGGAAGGAAAGGTCTAAAGCAAATCAAGGGGGAGAAGAGACAGGAAAGCCCATCAGAGTGTCTCCTTTACAAAATTCAGGGGAAAGAATTTCATATAAAAATGAGCAAGAGAAAAGTAACGGTTAAATCTCATAGAATTATCAGAAAAAAGAAGACAAGCAGAATAGTATCATTTCCATGAAAACATGCCTGGAAGACGTGCTCACAAAACAGAAAATAATAAAAAGACATGGACCCACAACATAAATCAGATTAGAGTAACTCAGAACTGAGTGACAGAGCTCAGGAAAGACTAAGAAATTTAAAAAATGAGTATGTAAATGAAGACTACACTAGAAGGAACATGAGAGGGGATAAACACAGCAGATAAGCCATAAGAGGAAAAGAAGGAAATTTTTAAAAAGCAGAAAGAAATAAAGAGATAAAAAAGATTTGAGAGAATGTGACAAAATACTGAAGAGAGGCACAGAAGACAGAATACTTGAATAAAGGAGTCCCTGAAGAAGAAAGCCAAAGCAAAGAAATAAACACACAACAAAACACTGGTACAAGCTTTCCCGTAATAAAAATCAAGTGGAAATGACACAGTATATGAATGAATGCTGACCCAGAATAACCAACACTAAGATACAATCTGGTAAAATTACTGGACGAAAATGAAAGGAAAAAAAATCCCTTGGGCATCTAGGGAAAAAAAGAAAAGAACACGTGACACCATATTTTATGCCAGGAAAAATGGAGCTGCATATGTAGACACTCAAGAAAAGACAGTATGGGCCAGGCACAGTGGCTCACACCTGTAATCCCAGCACTTTGGGAGGCCGAGGTGGAAGGACTGTTTGAGCCCAGAAGTCTGAGACCAGCTTGGGCAATACAGCAAGATCTCAGCTCTAAAAAAAAAAAAAAAAAATGAGCCAGGTGTGGTAGTGCATGTCTGTAGTCCCAGCTATCGGGAGGCTGAAGTGGAAGAAAGGCTAGAGCACAGAAAATCGAGTGGAGGTGAGCCGTGATCAAGCCACCACCCTCCAGTCTGGGCCACAGAGACTCAAAACGGTAGTGTGGTGGGTCAAGTATTTTAGATCTAGCAAAACTAATATTTATGTATAAGGGCACAAACTGTTATAACAAGAATTTCAGGGAATACTATTCTCATGAGCACTTCTTGAGGAATCTTCTAGAAAATAAGATTCAGGCAACCAAAACGACTAGAGAAACACTGACATAAGGACTGATGGGGAGGTAACACAGCTACCTGTAAACCCAGAATAAGTGAAGTCTAAGGGGGCAGATTATATAATACGATGTCTGTATCTCTGACAATGAAGACATAGCAGCTCCATTTCAAAAATGGAAGAAGTGGGAGAGTATATGCAAATAAACAAATAAAATACAATAAACCTGAGTGTTTCCAGTAATCACACTGAGGCAGTACTGCTATTTTAATCTTTGGTAATAGGGGACAAAGCAAATGAGCAATTATGGAGCATTATAAGTAAATCACTCCCTACATGGTATTCAAATATAATAGAGAAGAGGTGAAGCTGAAGCTTTATACTCTCAAAGTAAGTATCCATGGAAATATGGAAGTATCAACAAACTCATGGGGAATTTTATCATCATATATAAATATAGGCATATACATAGAAACATACATAAACATATATACACATATCACACACATATAAGTATATATATGAGGAGGGGGCCCCCCAAAACTGGAATTATCTTTTGGAGGGCAGGCTCCTTGGAGTACAGGCGTCCCCCACTAGGTAAGTGTTCTAGAAAGCAACTGGAATCAGTGTACCAGCTAGCACTGTTGTGAGAGGCTGCGTTGTAGAAGAAACGTCCCGAGTTGTGGCAAATAGGTGCCTGGCTCCTCCATCATGACGAGGCACCTGCCTACACCATGCTTAGTGTTCAACAGTCTTTGGCCCAAAGCAGCATGACCCCTGTGCCCCGCCCTCCCTCCTACCCCAAGCAACTTTTGTTTGTTTGTTTCCCCAGATGCAAAAAATCCACAAAGGGAAATGTTTTGCCCACCTGGAAGAGGTGAAACAAAAAACAGCAGAAGCACTAAAAGGCATCAAAATCGACAAGTTCAAACACTGTTTTGAGTCGTGGAAAAAGCATCTTGATAGGTGTATTGCATTAAATGGAGAGTACTTGGAAGGTGACTGAAGTTTAAACATGTCAGATACACAATTTTTATGAATAAATTTAGATTTTTTTGGTCCCTCCCCGTGTATATATACAAGATATATATATATATGCTTACATATACACACAAATAATCTGACTACTGAAAAGGCCCAGTACAGGCATTAGGTAGCAATGGCTGCAAAAATCCCTGAGAGAGAAAACAATTTTGGGCCTCCTATAGTCTTGCCAAATACTTTTTTCTTGCCAAAGGAGTCTGATCCAATCTCGTAGTCAACTGCTCATCTGCAGGTAATATAGAGGACAGAGGAACGGGTTCAACTGCACCCAGGGAATACAGCAAATTGAGGGAAATTCTTACAGATGGTCCGGGTTGTTCAACAGCTCAAATGTAAGGCAATAAAAGGAATGAGGATCACTGTAGATCAAAAGAGACTACAGTAAGTCCCCTACATAAAAAAGAGTTCCACTTGTAAGTCCAATTTGTTTGTAAGCCTAACAAAGTTAGCCTAGGTACCCAACTAACACAATTGGCCATATAGTACCAGCTATATCACTGCTGCTTTTACACTTGCTTCCGGACATCCTGGGCTTGAAATAAAGATACCGTACCACCGTACTCTACACAGTACTGTACAGTAAAGTACACATAAGCACAACTCCTTGTAGAGGATGCACGCATGTGACAATGTACGCCAGACACGTGAACTAACTTACATGACTGGACATGCAAGTGCACATTTGCATTTTTGAAAGTTCGCAACTTGATGATCTATATGTAGGGGACTTACTGTGTGTAACATTTTTAAAAAATGGATAAGACTAAATTGTAGTACCTGGGGATGCACATTTGTGTGATAAAACCACAAAAATGCAAATAAGTAATTACTACAGAAGTCAGAATAATTGGTATTTACAGGGGCAGAGAAACTGTGATTCCGAGGGGACACATGGAGGGGGTCGTGAGTCAGCCAGCAAGGTTCCCTATCTTGACGTAGGCAGTGTTCCCTTTATCCTGCCACCCACCTCTTCCTTATTTGTGCCTCGATGCAGCATCCTGATTTCAGAGCTACTTTATAAGTTAATCCAAGGATCTCTTACAGAACTATCTGATTGCACAAAACAAATTTTTTTCCAAGTTTCAGAAGGTATCCATAGTTACCTAAAAATTTATCCAGTGATTCATACATCTGCTCTTGACTGACAGTCTCATTTGAAAATTTCATTGGCTTTCTTGGTACGAAAGTGCCATTTTTCTTATTATGGCTAGGCAATTTTGAAGATAAACTGATTCTGTCTTTTCTAGTTTTTGGTCTCTGGTTCTGTTTAGAGGAACTGAAGCGGCTGATAGATAAATCATCATCCGAGGATGAATAATCATCAATAAACTGAGAGTTATGATCCTCATCTCTTGTAGGCAGTTCGTTTGTTCTCTTCATTATTCCAGGAAAATTGTGAAGCTCCCCTTTGTTTTTCTTTTTTCTCTTAAACCTTAAAGAAATAGTAGCTCTATCCTTTTTTACTCTGGTCTTGGAAGAAATTTCAATGTCATCAGATTCTTCACTGATATCACTAGTGCCTTTTTTATTCATCACAGATTTCAGGGTTGTGTTCTTAGGATTTAATATTTTTGAAATTATTTCATTTCCTTTGTCATCAGTCTTTTGAACATCATCATCAGTCATTGTTTTTACATGGTTTTCTGTTTCAGAATTTTCAGATCCATCCAAGGGTGGCTTACTTACACTATTCTCAGGGAATCTGTGAGGTGTCTGCTGTGTGGGATAGACGACATCGCTATCTTCTGATTCTGTGACATTATGTAAAATGCAATGTTCATCTGTATTTTTTAGTTTTTTCTCATCATCAGACTCAGAAGAAATGCTTTGTTTTAAAGTCTTCTCACTTTTATAAAAAATGCATTTTTCATTTGGATTTAGGATGTTATCTAATTTCTGATGTTTTGAAGTACCAAGAGAGTTCTGATTTTTCTGACAACCAGCATCTTCGGCTTCTGCTGAAAGGTATGTGGGCTCCTCATCAGAACTTTCATCAGCAGAGGGAGTGTTTCCAGTATTATCCTCAACTGCTTTACATTTTGTCTCCAACAGTTTAGAAAAACCACACTGAAGCAGGGTAAGCTGTCCTGGAGAACCAGAAGCTTTACATGAATCAGGTGCTTTGTTTTTAGCAGTCTTTACTGCCGAGGTTCCTGCTGATTCCTCATCACTAAAGTCGCTGCAGAGATCACATGCTTCCTTTGCCAGGGACTGTGCAGGCTGTTCTGGAGCTGTGGGTTCTTGACAGTCTGGCTCCTTAGGCTGTATTAGGAGCAATGACAGAAACATTAGAAAACCTCAAGATAATGATATGGACTCGATTACACTGGAGAGGAATTGACTGTAGGTCAATCACTCAGGTACAAGTATATCACCTGGTATTTTCTAAAAGTGCAACTTTTAGTAAACAAATGTAAAGGATTTAATATTACAGTCTGGTACAGTCTTTTCTCTTTTCAAGTTAAATAACTTTCCAACATAAATAAAAGTTTAAACTAGAGTACTATACGATCAAAGAATTTTAAAGGAAAACACAGAGTGGCATGGTCGGCTTCTAAGACACAAGGACTCACAATTCTGGCCCTGAAAGTAAAAAGCACACAACTTATTGCTTTAGAATTATTGAAATTTACTGTAGTCTAGCAAGTACTTCTAATCATGCTTTAAGAACTAATGAAATGTATAGGAGTTAACAAGGTAAAGAATTCACAACTGGAAAACTGTTCTAATTGATTAAAAATAAGTCTAGTAGGATTTGATTACCAAAAATAAAGAGAATTAAGAAATACAATTTGTTTCAAATTTAAATGCAATATTTAATGTGTTTTTTTCCACATTAATCAAAGTTAAATATATTCTTCAATTTCCTAAAACTGAGGCTTTATTAGTAAATGATTTTGAGACGGCATTATCTGGTTATTTCTGCCAACATTTGATATTCATGTATTTCTCTAAATTTAGAAAAATGCTCACCCTATATTCAAAGTCACTGGAGTGGTATAAATTTAAAGTTAGCAAACAAGAAAAAACAAGTAACGATAACAAAAAAATCTCCACACATATATTTTATCTTTCAGATAGCCTTATAATGATAGTATAGATTTTGTGGTATGTGAGATGACAAACTACTAGAAAGACCACAAAAGTAGGGAATCAAATGAAATCAAATATCTGCTTTGAGTTAGAGAATGATTTTTATATTGAGATTTAATACTCTTAAACACAGTTAGATGGTGATTTTTTCCATTTAATTTGCCATTTAGTAAAAAATTATTTATCTGGATTGGGCTAGTGACCTATGGTGCATTTAATTCTGGATTTACAGTATGGTGTAGTTAAAATTCCACTTTAGATATAAATGCCTGATAATTTTCCGGAATTTGTTCTTATGCTATGAAAGCGAAATCCGCCTTAATTATTAATTTTACTCACAGTCCTCTAACTTCATGTCCTTAACTCTTAAAAGACTTTTTCTTTACATGTTGAAAAATGAAGCCAGGCTCGGTGGCTCAGGCTGTAATCCCGCGCCTTTGGGAGGTGAGTGGATTGCCTGAGCCCGTGGGTTTGAGACCCGCCTGGGCAACTTGGCGAGCTCTCATCTCTACAATAAGCCAAAAAATTAGCCGGGCGTGGTAGCGCGCGCCTGTAGTTCCAGCTAGTCAGAAGGCTGAGGCGGAAGGATCGCTGGCGCCCAGGAGGTGAGGCTGCGGTGGCCGGGAGTGCCACTGCACTCCAGTCTGGGCGACAGAGTGAGACTCAAACTCAAAAAAAAAAAAAAGAAAAGAAAAATGAAGGAAAAAGGAAAAGAAACTTAAAACTGTCACATCACATGTCTCCAGACATTGTGCTGCAGGCTACAGATCCCAGAATCACTTACCGTTTCTAGTTTGCATGTTGGAGGTCCCTCTTTCAACCATGTTGTGGCTGTCATGATCCCGGCCTCCACTTGGCCTTCTCTCTACAATGTCAGCAAGAAAGAATGTGAACAACTGTGCAAAACAGGGGGTAAAAAAATCCCAGAGAGACAATAGCAACATGTGCTATTGAGTTAAGAAAGAAAAACCAAGTGCAGCTTGTTTTAGTGTTCTTCATGTTATTTTTCAATTTGCTAATCAAGGAACTCCTAATATACACACTTACATAACATTTTACAATACTCTTAATTCTTATCTTAATGTTTACTTTTTCAGACACAGAAAATACTTTCTAGTCAACTTTGTTGAAAGCACTAGCGGGGGGAGCAAGAGTGAAAAATGTTATATATTTACCTGGTATGATATCGACAACAAACATTCCTCTATCATAATTATGGCCAAGATGTATCAGCAACATTTTAAACACCACAGACAACGTTGAATAATGGGAACTGGACATTCTAGCCTATATTACTAGTGTATTTATTGTTCATACTCATTAAAAATATATGTCCCTTAGGTATAATAGACATCAAAATGAAAAGGTCCCTCCTAATATGAAACTAAAAACAATACCTTAATTACATAACTGGCTTGTTACGTCTTTTGGGAAACTGCTTGCACTTTAAAGCTTTGGGTGTAGCATTTAGCAGAGGTATCTAATGGCCTAGATTCTAGGACATTAATTCTCCTTCAAAACGAAATCAATTCTTTCTACTTTTTTGATAGAACAAGAGGAAATAATATTCCGTCACCAGAGTTACGAGCACTCAACTTACGAATACACAGATACCAACGACATGGTTCCAGTCACTTGGTAGCTAGGGCAACGAGTGAGAATGTCCCTACACAACCCTGTAGAACGATACACAGTTTCTAAATTGCCATGAGTTCTTTACTCCCCGTGCCTGGAGGCTATGATTGCAATGGGAAGAGGGGCCTTGTTTCTAGAGCCACCATTTACCTCTGCAGCAGAAGCTAAATGTCTACAATAGATGCAAGTGGCAGCGCTAGAAATCCTAAAGCTGTTGAAACTCCTTTATGACAGATAAATGGCCGTCAGTCCTAGACTGCTCAGGCCAAACACCTTGGCGCCATCTTTAATGCCTCTCTTTTTCTCATATTCCATATCTGATCCATCAGCAAATCCTGTCAACGCCACGTGAATACTATATACCTGCCACTTCTCACGCCATCTACCACGATCACCCTGACCCAAGCCACTATCATCTCTCAGTTAGATCACTGCAGTATCCTCCTAGCCAGCTTCTTGCTTCTGTCCTTATACGTCTGTAGTCTAATTTTAAATAGTTAGACGAATGTAAACCAGACTCTGTCTTTCTTCTGTTCAGAACCCTCCAACTGCCTTGTGTCTCACTCAAGAAAAAGTCAAAGTTCCTGCATGACATCTCTCTTGCCTCCTCTTGCTCTCTTGCCTATTTTACTTCAGCCACACTGGCCTACCTGACACTTTGAAATCATGCAGGACACGTTCCTCCCTCAAGGCCTCTGCATATGTTCCCTCTGTCTAAAGCACACCTTCCTTCCTCACTTCCTTCCAGGCTCCATCTAAAACTGCAAAGCCGCTCCCTTGACAACCCGTTCCCTTCCTCGCTCTATTTTTATCCTTCGAATCTGTTCTACTATGCCTTATATTCCACTTGGTTATTCTATTGTTTGTCTACCCCAAGTAGAATGTGCATTTATGATATGATTTTTTGTCTATTTTATTCTTTTATATATACACAGCTTTATGAATAGTACCTGACATTTAGCAGATGCTCAATAAATATTTGTGAAATGAACTCTCAGTATCCATCTTTAAAGGGAAACTATAATATAGATGACAATGAGTCAATGCAAAATCGAAATAAACTGCCCAGAAATCATAAGATTGAGTGCTATGTAAATTCCAATTTTTACATCTTAAAATATTTTTAAAGGGATTTTCTACAACCTTTAAAAATTAAAGGCTTATCACATGAAATGAAATATTTCTTTGATTTTATGATATGTATTCCCATTAGATAGGGCTTAGAATAATAATATATTTAAAAATACCGTTTGGCCAAAAGCAGCATGAATCTAAGTAGGCCTGAATAATTTTAAATTCTAGTTTAAAATGACAAATAAGCCATTTTAATTAAAAATGTAACTTAGTTTAATGATTTAATAATTGAGTACCAATAATATGCCTAGCAAGACAAGCGTAAGACATGGATGATCCTGTCATCCTATATTACTAATGATTAGAAAATAGGTTATTATCTTTAGTATTCAGGTACATTAAATAACTTAAGGATTTTTTTAAACAAAATGTAAGAGATGGACTGTTCTATCATTAATAAACATGGCTGAAGGCGAAACGAGATATCCTTAGGACCAGTGAACAAGAGGACTTCCCAGTTAATAACCTGTCATCTGATATGTCTTATGTGACACTCGTTTAACAAAGGAATAGGTAAGTATTCTGATCAAACAGAATTGCCCTATGTCCTATGTGGTAGAAAACAGGATAAATAATATAATGCCAATATCTGTATAGACGATGATTTTAAATTAGAAACATGAACATAGGCGCGCCAACTAGTATTCAGAGATGGAGGGGGCCTCGGGGCAGGGGAGGTGGAGGACAAAGTTAGTGATAAGAGAAGAGGGGCAGGAAATAACAAGTCCATAGAAGAAACAGACTGTTCAAAAAAAAAAACAAAAAGTAAACCCAAAAACAACAAAAAAAGAGGACTTCAAATGAGCCACTCAATTCAAAATCAAATACAGTTACAATAAGACAAAAACTCAGCAGCATACCTCAGATGCTGGATGGCAGTTATAATATCTATAGGACACAAATAATACATACCTTCCCCTTTCCCATCCATTAGTAGCCATGTTGAACTACTACTGAACTTGCTTAGTATGTAATTGCATTACATATTGCATGTGAGTTGTGTCAACGTTCTCTTCCACCTTCCATCTAGATGGGTTAAGTTCCTCAAGGACAGGGACCAAGTGTTCCTTAAATGACTTTATGGTACTTACCGAATAAATGAAGGACCTTAAGGTTTTGCTCTAAAGTTCTGGAAATCAAGGGAAATATCCTGAGTTTCTCTAAGACTCAGCCTCCTTGTCTATATGACAAGGAGGTTGAAAAAGATGATATTCCAGGATTCTATGATACCCATATTAACATCAGTAAGAAAAGAGGTTAATATTTTTAGTATTCTGGTATATTAAATAATTTAAATATTTCTTAAAAGGATATAAATATTTTGTTGGAAGAATAAGTAACATCTGTACGCTGAGGAGGAGTACAATGAGAGTTTAAAATATTGGTGTGGAATTTTTATTGGGAACAGAAAAGAAAAATCTTCATGAGACATGACAGTGCATCTCAGAGAATATTTGGTAACTTTTAATCAAAACACATTTTATATTTTTGTTTATTTAGGAAAATATCTTTTTTTAGTTCCTGACTTCAACAGCTGTTTTCAAAGTAATAAACTTCACTCCGCCAGTCTGAAAATGGCCTTGGAGTTCACACTAACCAGTATATGAACTTGTACTTGTGTGTGTGCATTGTTTAAAATTATGCATGGAAAAACCTTAGTTTTAAGGGTACAATAAATCATTTCCCATTTCTCCAAAAGTAGAAATTCTAAACATAAGCTGTTTTTGATAAAGAAAAACAAACATTTTTCTGAAATGGCAAGAGCAACTGTATTTCAAATTTCCTGAAGGAGAAAAACCGTATTTAAAATATTATCGAAAAGTTCAGAGAACAATTTCACACCTCCAGGATGTCCCGTGTCAGACAAGACCCTTGGGACCTTAGCTTGAAGAGGTTGTGGATCCCAAAAAGCTCTCCTCGATGCTCTTTTGACCCCTGAACAGCTTCAAAATATCGCTTGGCATTTTCACTTCCAACCACCACACAGTGAAGTTGCTAGAACAGAAGAAACACAAGATATTTTTGAAGTGTTTGCTCCAACAATATGTCAGAATTTCCTGGCGTTCCCTGTATACACACAGCTTTAGCTAGAGCAGGCAGAATCTCCTAAGGGAGGAAATTTTGTTTTAATTTCCCTGGCAGATGCTGCCATTATGGCGAAATAATAATCATCTGGTCAGTCTTATCGAAGCAGAGAGCTTACATTTCCTCTTTAATCTGTTTTCTAACAACTGTGTCAAGATTACATCTCTATGGAGTATCTACCTGACACAAATGTTTAATGATAAAAGTATACATTTGAATCCACTCTTCTCCTTTTTAAACTCTTACTATAATAGGAGATACTAAAACTGGCAGAAGTATTACTATGTCACGAAAGTTAAATTATAATCTCAAGTAATTATCTGATAACCACCTCGATGTCAAACTAATTGTGGCTTGGTTAAATTGTCAACTAACAGAACCCCATCACATTTTAGAAACACTGCCTCTCGGAAACAATTCTGAATGTAGAAAGAATACTGACACGAAACCCTTAAAAAATATACCATTTTAGTATCAACATTAATGTACACATTTGCTAGATATTTTACAAAATGTAATATAAATATGTAAAATTAAAAGATGATCTGACTAATAGCCCTGGGTGCACTTTAAAATTTCTTGGAAGAAACAAAGATGCACAGAATAGGAAAACTTCAGTCTACTGTTGTTGGAGAGATTAGTAAGAAGTGATATTTAACTACTGAGATTATCATTAGAGTTCACTTGCACTGCAATGAGTTACTCCAGGCTTAAAATTCTTAATAATCACTGCCAATTATTCAACACACCCTACATGTATAGCATTTTATTTATACACTCTCATTCAATCCCTACAGCCTCATAAGGTATTATTATCTCCATTTTAGAAATAAACTGAAACTTCTCTATTTTAAAAACAAACTTAAGTTTAGAGAAATTAAGTGACTTGCTCACAGCTGCCTGCTAAGAAGTGTCATCACTAGAATCCATACCTTGGTTTGGCTGAACCCCAAATTTATACTCTAAACAATTTCTCACTTCCAGGATGCCCCCTATAAAACAAGATCTTAGTTTGAAGAGGTTATGGGTCAACATACCAACTTGTTCAGTTAGGTATCAATGTCCCAGAAACATGGGCTGCAATCCTGAGAATACAGAATCACAATAGCAGCTGATGCAACTGATGGCCCAGTTACCTTGTTACCCTTGCTCCTGATTCTTCCTTAAACACTGATATTGTCAGATTGCAGGACCTCTACCTATAACCACCAAGGTAATTTGTAAGTTTTACTCTGAGTCTTTGTAAGTTTCCTAGTAAAGTTTTATCACAAAATTTATAAAAAGCAAAGTATTTTGTACTTTAAGTTTTCCAAAATGGCTCCAGTCAAAGTGAAAACCGGGTGCTTCCATCTGTAGGCTAACTACAAAAAATCGTGTTAGAAACTCAAGAGGTGAGGGGGAAAGAATCAGTAATTTTAAAATGTAGCTCTGTTTCTAGCTTATGAAAAATCCACACAAGGCCACAAAATGTTTAGATTTCCCCATAACAACATATAAGATATGCCTCCCCATAAAATAAGGAAAAAGAAAGAATGTTCGTCATGTTGGGAAGTTCACGGTCCCTTCTTCATCTTCAAGGCCAGCAGTGTGGGATCCTCTATCTTTATCTCTGACCCTCTGCCTCCTTTCAAGGGGTTATCAGGCAGTAGGGTTAGAGACAGCAGAGATGAAGGCGCGATGTGTTCATCCCTCTGCTGTCTCTGACCCTACTGCCCTAGAACCCCTCATAAGGACCCTTGTGATTGCACTGGGCCCACTGGGAAGGCCTGGTGGTTTGAGGGATCAGAAGGCGAGTATCTCTGGGGGCCCTTATCCAGCCTACCAACATGAAGACGTGCAAAAACAATGATAGAGGCAAGGTTCCCAAATATGAGGCATTCTGGACATCAAAGTAAATCATGATATACCGTGGGCTGTAATCTGTTACTGAAATAGGAACCCATGAGGCCACACAGATTGAATACATAAATGGAAGGGAAAACTCTTTTTTAAATGGTAGAGTGTCGACATACAAGCAAGATGGAATAATGGAAACAAACAATCACTCAACAGCCATCATAGCTGTAGCCAACTCAGGCAGAAGCATGGATACACACTAAGGCTGATGGGCGCAAGTTTGACGAAGAATGGGAAGAGGAAATGGCATAGCCTCAGAAGATCTCCCCATAAACGGCTTATCAGGTACAAAGGAAAAAACAAAACAAAAACAACCAGTCACTTTGCTGAGGAAACCTATCAGACAAAAACCTGGCTGAGGTCAAGGTTCACGTCACCAGCAGCAGGGCAGGTCACTATCCTGTGCCTCCTGACTGACGCCACGAGGGGAGCACGGCCTCCTCTCCGTGGTGAGTCTGGACGCGAGGAAACAGCAAATGGGCCTGGCTGAGGGACACCCCACACAAGGAAAGCCTTACTCTCGGAGATAAAGAAATTCTGGTAATTATTCCAGGTGGAAGAAAACTGAAGAGACACAAAAAGTACATGTGAGCCATGATCCTGGATCAAAGCCTGGATCGAATTCTGGGCAAGAAAGGAAAAAACAGACATTGCTGGGAGGGCTGGGAGAATCTGAATGGGTCCTGTGGATTACAAGGTGATGGTGCCTCAACGTTAACTTCTTGATGTAAATAACTGCGTTTTGGGGAGGAAATGGGGGAGGGCAAGCTACGGAACAGAACTGTACAACTGAGTGTGTATAACTCATGAAACTATTTTTAATGTATACATTAAAGTCAGAGAGTATACTTGTTTAGGGAAAATACACACTGGACAATTCAGAGAATGTCCTTACTTCTTTGGGGAAATACAAAGTGGTAGTAAGTCTGTGACATTCTCTCTAATGGTTCAGAAAAAGAATAAAGATTATGGATGAGAGATAGAGAAACCAAGCATGTAAAAATGTTAACAAGTGGAGAATTTGGTGAAGTTAATGGGAGTTCTTTGTGCTGTTCTTGCAATTCTCTTATAAACACTTACTTATAAATTTATACATCTCTCTCTCTCTCTCTCTCTCTCTCACACACACACAAACACAGATAAATTTCTGAATGCCAAAACTTTAGAATGCATACAATGCTCCAAACCTGAAGGAGAACAGTTGCTGTATAAGTGATGTTTGTATTTTTTAAATTTTTTTTTAAATTTTAAAGATGTGGGGCACAATTCAGGGTTAGGTATACAAATGTTCATTATACAGGTACCCTTGGTGATGAAGTGTGCCCCCCCCAGCAGGTTCCCACTACTGCCAATCTTTTTCTTACAGTATTATGATAATTGTTCAAGGTCCGCTTATGAGTGAGAATATGTGACACCCAGTTCTTTGTTTCTGTGTAAGATCACTCATTATTATAGACTCTAAGTCCATCCAGGTTGCTGCGTATTTTTTAAAAATATAAAATATCTGAATGCATTATTACAACATATGCAAACAACACACATCAAAATAAAAGTAAATGTAGGTTACCCCTTATTAGTCTAACCAGTGTTGTAATATTTAGGTGTATTCTTTTAGATATCTCTCAATGCAGTTAGAGCTACTGATATATACTGATGCTCCTTGACTTACAATAGGGTTATTTATGAATAAACTTACTGGAAGTCGAAAATACTGTCAAGTTTAAAGTGCATTTTGACTTAAGGTGGATTTATCCAAATGCAGTACCATCGTAAGTAGAGGTGCATAAAAAATGCATACTGCTTTAGCACTATCAAAAAGACAAAAAGTTGCTAAGTCAAGCCATCATAAATCAGGGATGGTCTGTGCATATGGAGTTTTATGTGTAAATACAATTGGTATACTGTACACACTGCTCTTCAAGTTGCTATCTTGCTTGATCCACTTAAAAATGTCCCTCAAGATCTTGCTACCTCAGTACATTCGATCTACTTTTTTCCTGCTGTTGCAGAGTAGTCTGTAATATGAGTATATCTGAGTCATCATTCTGTTATCATTGGACATTTAGGTTATTTCCTTTTTTATCTTTTAAATAAACACTACCAATGCTGAATATAAGTCCTTGTCATCCCTCACTGTGCATATGTGAGAGTATTTCTGTCAGTTACTAATGGAGAAAGTACTGTGCTTTAAATAGCTTACATTAGCCTCTACAATAAGCATACCAGGTGTATTCTCAACCACAGTACTGAATATCTCTTTACAAATACCCCAAACAACAATGCACAGTGTCAATTTCTCCACTCCACCTTCACAAAAACCCCAAATCAAAATTTTTTAAAAAGCTTTTGTAAAATGTACAGAGCACAGTCTTACTGAATTTTGTATTTCTGGATTATGAATGAGGTTAAACAGCCTTTCACGTCCGTATTAACTGTTTGTATTCTTTTCTTCAGTGGAATGCCTAATCAGAGTCTTTTTTATTGGTTTGTGGGAGATTTTTGTATTTTATAGATGCTATTCCATTAGGGTACATAAGGCAATCATTTCTTCCTAGTCCTTCTTTTTTACCCCACAAATTTGGAATTTATGAAAACTTGTGCATTTATTCTCACGTGTTTAAACTTCAGTCACCTTCAAAGCTCTCTCCGTTTGATGCACTACACCTATTGAGATGCTATTTCTACTGCTCAACAGTTTTTGAATTCATTTTGATTTGCCTCTTCCACATCAGCAAAACGTTTCCCTTTGAAGACATTTTTCATCCAGGTAAACAAACAAACAAAAAGTCACTTGGGGCAAGATGGGCCGAATAGGGAGGGTGGGGCAAGGGGTCATGCCATTTTTTTAGTCAAAAACTGCTGACCACTCCCCGAGGTGTGGGCAGGTGCACTCATACATTACCCATCATGAAATGGGCAAACGGCACTGAAAGAATCTTCAGAAAAAGGTTTCAATGAAGCTGAACACAGCCTCTCACAACAACACAAGCTGGTACACTGATGCCAATGGGTTCCTAGAACCCCTCCTAGTCTCTCTTTGAATCTGGTTTGCAGTTCCTTTGTCATACAGAAGTTTCAGCAAAAATGTCGTCAAATTTGCAGTATCTTGTGCCTTCAAAGATGTACTAGTTTCCTGTGGCTGCTATAACAAAGTACTGCAAACTGAGTGTATTAAAGCAACAGAAATTTATTCTCTCACGGTTGTGGAGGCTCAGATCTGAAGTCAAGGTGTCCATAGGGCCACGCTCTGGCTGAAGATCCTAGGGAATGATCCCCCCTGCCTCTTTCTTGCTTCTGGCAGTTGCTGGCAGTCCTTGGCGGTCCTTGGCTTACCACTGCATGGCTTCGATTTCTGCCTCCGCTGCCACGTGCTGTGTTCCTTGTGTCTGTCTGTATCTAAATTTCCCTCTTCTTATAAGGACATCAGACATCAGATTAAGGCCCACCCTAATCCAGTATGACCTCATCTTAACCTCATCTGCAAAAGGCCTACTTACAAATCAGATCACATTCACAGGTTTGGAACTTCAACGTATCTTTTGAGGGACAGGGGCACAATTGAACACATAATAGATGCTTTGTTAAAGATTTTCATATTTATGTTCATGAGAGATACTGGTCTGTAACTTTCTATAATGTCTGTGTTAAGTTTTGGTATCAGGATTGTTCTCTTTGTAAATTAAGTTAAAAGTGCTTTCTCCTCCTGTTTTCAAAAAAATATTGTTTGATAGAGTTTATTAGTGAAGTCATCCAGGTCAGGATCTGTCTCTGTGGGAAAGTTCTGAATATAAAATTCAATTTCTAACAAGAAAGGTTATCATTTTCTCTCATTTGAAGTTACTGCTTCTACATATCCAGTATTGCTAATAAGAAGTTAGATGTCTATCTAATTCTAGTAGGTAATGATTTTTCTCCCAAGAAAAGTTTATCTCTGGAAACCTATAATGTCTGTGTTAAGTTTTGGTATCAGGATTGTTCTCTTTGTAAATTAAGTTAAAAGTGCTTTCTCCTCCTGTTTTCAAAAAAATATTGTTTGATAGAGTTTATTAGTGAAGTCATCCAGGTCAGGATCTGTCTCTGTGGGAAAGTTCTGAATATAAAATTCAATTTCTAACAAGAAAGGTTATCATTTTCTCTCATTTGAAGTTACTGCTTCTACATATCCAGTATTGCTAATAAGAAGTTAGATGTCTATCTAATTCTAGTAGGTAATGATTTTTCTCCCAAGAAAAGTTTATCTCTGGAAACCTTAAGGACCTTTCACTTTCTCCATGATGTTTTGGAAAAATGGCTGAGGACAGTGGTACATGCCTGTAATCCCAGCTTCTTGGGAGGCTGAGGCAGGAAGATTACTTTGAACCCATGAGTCTGAGACCACCCTGGACAACACAGTGAGACTCCATCTCAAAAAACAAAACAATTGTAGAAAGATGGTGTAAGGGTGGGTCTATTTTCATTCACTCATTTACTCTAAGACTGATATTGGAACTTCTAAACCTAGCCTCCATTTCTCCTACTTTTCTTACATGTGTTTTCTCTGTCTTTTTGCTCTGTAACCTAGAAGAGTTGCTTGCTTTTTCTTTTACAAGAAAAATGTGCTCTTTGCCATTTAGCCTATCTCTGGACTTTTTTATTTTCTGCACCTTTAATGGATTATTTCCCTAGTAGTTCATTCTTGTTCCTGGGATCCTATAAACTCACTTACCTTTTGAAGACATTTGTATTTTTTAAAAAAATCTCTCTCACTCGAAATGTTCAAGTCATTCTATCTTCTCTGATGTTGATTCTTCTTCTGAGTGCCTATATTAGTTTCCTATGGTTCCCATAACAAATTATAAACTTGATGGCTTTAAACCAATAGAAATCTATCCTCTCATAGTTCTGGAGGCCAAAAAATCTGAAATTAGTATCACTGAGCTGAATCGAGGTGTTGGCAGGGCCACACTGCCTGCGGAGGCTCCAGGGGAGAATCCATCCTTTTACTCTTCCAACTTCTGGCAGCAGCCAGCATTCCTTGGCTTGTGGCACATCACTCCAGCCAAGACCTCTGTGGTTACACTGCTTTCCTCTCTTCTGTCTGGGTCAAGTTTTCCTCCAGTTTTCTTATAAGGACAACACTTGTGGATAATCCAGGATAATCCCTGCATCCCTGGATCCTTAATTTAATCACATCTTTGTATTTTTCCATATAAAGTGCCATTTACAGTTTCCAGGAACTAGGACCTGATATTTTGAGGTCCAGTAATCGGACCTATAGTACCTTTTTCATAGTGCTTATTTTTCTAAACTGTTGAGTAATTATTTTGAGCTGGGTATCCACCTGCCTTTAAACACCTTACATACTTATCTCAGCCTACTGCAGTGCTGATTTGAAGTGAGGCACAAGTAATTAGTCTTCTGGGCAACAGGAGGGTCTTTCTTTTGGACATCAGAAAAATCTGGAGCTCTGTTTTGCTCCTTTGCTTCCAGTGTTTCCACTTGCTGTTCTCACTTGAGAGTAGACACCTCTGTTGGCTTCAATTTTGTACAACTGGTGTAAGATTTTAAGGGTTAAACCACCTTGTTACATCATCGACAATATTTCCAAAGAGGAAACCCAGTTACCCCAAGGCTCCCTTCTTTTTTTGTGTCTCTTGACTCAAAGCTTGGAAAATCCAGAAGCTGCACCTACCTTTTTCTGCAGTCTTCCTCTCACCGAGTTTAGCTTGGTTTCTTCCTTCAATGTGTCCCAACTGCTTTCTGTCTTTTAGGGTTCCTTACAATTTCTGGGCCACCAAGAGAACCATTCTTGCTTTCCGATACTTTAATAGTTTTTTTTAAACATCGTTTTTGTATTTCTCGTCTCCCAAAGATTTGAAGACAACTTGGGAGACTAGAGGGTGTGCTCCATATGCACATTTGGTTCAAATTCCAAGCTGTCTTTAGACCACACTTAATGCCTTTTCCTTAAATGATTGCCATCTTTTCTTTATTTGTGTCATAAAGTTCTTAAATTGCCTCATCTTCTGAAGCCTTTTAAATTATATACTACTATATATAATATGTATTATATGACAAGCCATTTTATTTCATTAAATGGGTCAGATGAATAGGTAAAAAGGAAACGTATATAAGAAGGGACAGAAAAATATTACTGTATTTTTGGTATATTTGAGGAAAGACTCTTACTTATGACAAGTCTAAGACAGCATTCTATTTTGGGAGTTTTTTGTTTGTTTTTCTAAGACAGCATTCTAAAAAACAGCTCCTAAGATTAAAAAAATCCTACTTTTTTTTCCAAAACTGGTTAGAAAAAATAATTTTTAAGTAGTGCTATACACCAAAGGGGAAAGAAGACAGACAGTTTCTTACAGAGCTAAATGCTTTAAGAAAAAAACAAAAACTGCTGTGTATAATTCTATTTTTAGAATGAAGAAAATAGCATAAATTTAAGATTGGATCATTCTTAGGTTAACTACCACCACATGTGGCAGATGTTTGTTCTTAAATAGATGCCAATGGAATATATAGATAGCAATTCAAATTTAATGTTTAACCTCAATCCAGATCTTCTCAAGTGTGCAGTTGTAAACGAAATGAATGTAGCTTATTTAGAAGCATGAATGATGTAGCAATTGGTACATCAAACATACTAAGGAGTTTAAGCAATTTTAGATGACTATCAAAAGCAGCAGCATGTAGTTAGGACACTTGCGTTCTACTCTTATAATTTCACCTACCGGGGCATCTCTGGGTCCCCGTCTCATTATGTACAGTATCTCTAAGGCAGTGCTCTCCAGTCTTCTTCATGTCATGGCACATATAGAAAATGGCAACATAGAAACATCTACCTGGAGTAAACAGAGGAGGCCACTCAAGGCTGGAAGCTTGCTTAGGTACTCTTGCTGTCCAGAGAGCTCTGGGACCAATGTTTCAGTGACCTTGTAGCCCTTTTTGTGGCTATTACATCTTGGCCTACAGTTGGGAGCTGTGACCTTGTTACTCAGATTGTGGTCTGTAGACTAGAAGTACCGGCACTCCTGGGAGCCAGTTAAAAATGCTGAATCGTGGGCTCTACTCCAGACCTACTAAATCAGAATCTGTGTTTTAATAAGATCCCTAGGTAATTCATGTGCATATTAAAAGTTTAAGAAGTGCTGCTCTAAGAAACACTCAGCTAAAAAATTCAATGAATCTAAGAATAATCTGTATCACAGAAGGGTATTCAAGAGTATTGTTCATAGTTGTATTAAATTCCATATAAGGATAAAATTAAAAACTTATTTTTATACAAATTTGTTCCTAAGTTGTGAAAGCAGATAAATGTTTACTTCTTAGGCAGCAAAAGGGAAATACATTTACCTGCTTGTAGACCTGTCGTAAATACATGATCTCCTCCACAGTTCCCAAAGAGATCAGCCTAAATACTTTGACATCTCTGCACTGTCCAATCCTATATGCTCTGTAAAAAGATAAAAACACAAACAAAAATAAAGTAAAACAGCTCTAGGTTCAAGAGGTAGCTTCTGAACATACAAATGAACTTTATGAACATTTTAATTAATTTTGAAAGAAATGTTTTATGTTCAAATATGATCTAGTACTTAGTAATAATGCCAAAACATAAATTCATATAAAAAGACTAGTTATTGAGGAGAAAAATATTATAGAAAAAATGTAAGTCAACTTCATTTCTGCTATACACATCACCTTCCACTGTCCAAAAACTTTTTCTAAATCCAGGTTTTTCTTTTACAATAGTCTTAAACTTATGAATAGGTTGTTCCCAAATGACTTTATTTGTATAAAGTTCTCCCAAATGCAAACTAATTCACAGTGAAAGAAAGCAGCTCAGTGGTTGCTCGTGGATAAGAGGATGTGGAGGGACAGGAGGAATGAACTTCAAAGATGCAGAAGAAAAATTTTGGGGGTGAGCAATCTACGTTCAGTATCTTAATTGTGGTTCACAAGTACATACATATGTCAAAACTTATCAACTGTGCATTTAAAAAATGTACAGTTTACTGTCTGCCAATTATATCTTAGTAAAATTGCCACAAGCAAATAAAAAAAATGGGGAAAATAAGTAAACTGGAAAGTCTACGGAAGGGCAGAGGTACAGTCCTTACCCACAGAGATTTCGATTCGGTGGGTCTGCCTGAATCATTCAGCTGACTGCTACCCAAGGGCTTCTGATCTGGACCACTGTGCTTTAAAAATCTAACTTGACTCATCATGGTTTAACTTTGGAGGCTTTATTGGATGCTCTGAATGAGCACTGAATGCCTGTTACAGTTGCTGACAGGAACGGGTCAAGGTCATCCTGCCAACATGCTTAAGAATGTTTTAATTTGGGGGAAAGTCATTTTTGACTTGGTAAGGTCCCTCTACGTATTGTTGTGTTTAGTATTCCCTTTGCCACCCTTACCCATAGAGAAAGGCTTTCACCAGAGGGTATCTTGAGTCCTGGAAACCCTCCACCTCCTGTGACACAGCGAGCCTAGGGTAAAGCGTTGCCTTCACACCTCCGTTCTGCAATCTGGCGGCAGAGAGCGGGGCTCACAACCTCTTCCTATCTTACAGTGTATTTGGACTCTAAAGAAGATCAGAAAGGAACCGAAGAAAACATCTTTTGGATGTATGCTTGGCCAGCTGTTTGGTGAATGGGATGCCTTCTACTGGAATGCATATCCTTTCATTGTTACAGAAAAAAACTTTATGCACAAGTTTCTTGGTTTCTTGGTTCATCAAACAGGGATCCCACCATGTAGGGACAAATCCTGAGGATCTCTTATGCACGTCAGAATCTCATTTTTGTTCTAGGTATCTGCTGCCAGAGTCAGTGAATGGGGAAGGAGGGGAACAGGAATGCTATTTATTTTGTTTTATTGTGAGCTAACTTTCATTGAATACCAAAGCGCAGTGCACTGTGTATTGAGGGAATATTGGAGTAAATAATGATGACCTAGATGAAAAAGTACAAAATATAGTAAATATCATAAGACCAAAAACAAAATGGAGGAGATTGTTTTGTGGTTTACACGTGATCACTTTCCTTTGATGGGTGTCACGGAGAAAGGCTGGTTAAAAGTGTCGGCTCTGCAGGCAGACTGCGTGGCTTCAGACCCTGAGCGTGGCACTCGCTCACTGCCTGTGAGCTTGGACCAGCTACATCAGTTCATTGGGCCTCAGCCTCCCCACTCATCAAATGGGTTAAATAAGAGTGCTTATTACTTACACACAGATATTGTGAGTATGAAAGAAGACAATCTGTGGAAAGCACTAAGAACAGTTTCTAGCTCATCAGAAAAACACAATAAATGTAGCTGATATCCCTTTGTCCTTATTCTTCCAAAAGTATTTATATGAAATTGCATATAATGCATTAAATATTATAAATAAGTATTATTCATGGCTAGTTGGTCCCTCTAATTCTTAAACTTCTCTGCATTTTTGCCTTTTTCCTTCAGATTAGGCTTCCCAAAATTTGTCTATTTTGCTCTTTTCAAGGAATAATTGAAAATTGATATTGTTTTTGCTTTTATTTTAATAATACAATATTTAATAAAATCCCCCCTATTTTCTTTACTTTGTTGTTTTTCTAGTTTTTAGGTTATATCCTTTCATTTACTTTCAGTCTTTCTTTTCTGAGAAATTAATTTAAAAATCTAAATTAACACAAAAATGTAAATACTAATCCAGAGTGATTTCATTGCTATTTCTTCTTTTTTCTTTTTTTTTTGAGTTGGGGTCTCACTCAAGCACCTAGGCGGGAGTACAGTGGCATGATCACGGTTCACCATAGCCTCAACCTTCTGGGCTCAGATGATCTTTCTGCCTCAGCCTCCTAAGTAGCTGGAACTACAGACACGTGCCCTAATCAAAGGACACAGGCTGGCAGAACAGATTATAAAAACAGTGTCCAACTACATGCTATCTATAAGAGACTCACTTTAGAATAGAAGACATACATAGGATGAAAATGAAAGGACGGCAAAAGCTATTTTGTGCAGACAGTAACAAAAAGAGAGTAGAAGTGTCCGTATTAATTTCAGACAAAATATGGATTCCTGGTCCCCTATCAGCTGGAAGCTGAACTTTACTTTATGCAGCTTACTTATACGTTAAGTCCTCACTTGTTCCCCACAACTCTAAAATTAGGAGGAAAAAAAAGAACTTGAGGCCCTAAAAAAGTTATCTTTAGACCCATAAAACTTTAAGAAATCAATTCTATAGTATTAATATCTTCTCTATTATAAAGTAATAAAAACAATGTATTGAGAGGAAAAAAACAATATCAGACAAAATAGACTTCAAGTCAAAAACTGTCACAAGAGAAAACAGACATCATACAATGACTTTTTAAAAGTTAACTCATAGCCGGGCTCGGTGGCTCAGCCTGTAATCCCGCACCTTTGGGAGGCTGAGGTGAGTGGATTGCCTGAGCCCGCGGGTTCGAGACCCGCCTGGGCAGTGAGGCCTCATCTCTACAATAAATCAAAATATCAGCCGGGCGTGGTAGCACGTGCCTGTGATTCCAGCTACTTGGAAGGCTGAGGTGGAAGGATTGCCGGAGCCCAGCAGATCGAGGCTGCGGTAGCCGGGAGCGGCCACTGCACTCCAGTCTGGGTGACAGAGTGAGACTCCAACTCAAAAAAAAAAAAAGTTAACTCATCAAAGAAATTTAACAATGATATACATAATCTTAACAAACATCAGGCCTTTTAAATATATGAAGCAAATATTACTAGACTTGAAGGGAGAAACAGGGAGTTCAACAATAATAATAGGAGACTTCAATACCCTAACTTCAGTAATGAATAGAACATCCAGACAAAAGATCAATAAGGAAAGAGAGGATTTAGACAACACTATAGACAAATTGAACCTAACAGAGATTTGCAGAATTACCCGTCCACCAACAGCAGAATACATATTTTTCTCAAGTGCACATAAAACATTCTCTAGGATAGGCCATACGTCAGGCCACAAATCAAGTCTTAATAAATTTCAAAAGATTGAAATCATGCAAAGTTTTTTGTTTTTTTACCAATCACAATACAACGAAACTAGAAATTAACAGCTGAAGAAAACTTGAAAGATTCACAAAAATGTGGAACGTAAACAACTAAAGAGTCAAAGAAGAATTCACAGAGCTGTTAGAAAATATCTTGAGCTAATGGAAACACACCATACCAAAACTGACGGCATTCAGCAGTAGTGCTAAGTGTCCGTGTTACAGCATATATCAGAACTTCGTTCCTTTTTAAAACTGAATAATATTCCACTGCATGAATTTACCACAGCTTATGCATCCGTTCACTCATCAATAGTCATGTGGGTGCTTCCACATTTCTGCTATTGTGAATAGACGTGTTAAGAACATGGGTGTACAAGTATCTCTTTGAGTCTCTGCTTTCAACTCTTTTTGTTACATAACCAGAGTGAACGTGTAATTGCTAAATCACAAGGTAATTCTGTGTTTAATCTTTTGAGGAACCACCATGCTATTTTCTATAGTGGTTGCACTACTTTACATATCCACCAACAACGCACAAAGATCCCAATTCTCCACCTCCCCACAGAGAACTGTTTTCTGCTGTTTCTATTTTTATAATAGTCATTTTAATGTGTGTGAAGTGGTATCCCATTATTATTTTGAATGGCATTTCCCTAATGGTAAGTGATGTTGAACAACTTCTCAAGTGCTTATTGATCACCATCTTTAGATAAATGTCTACTGAAGTTCTTTGCCCATTTCTGTAGTGGGCTTTCTGTTGTTATTGTGCTATATACACTTAAAAAATATATATTCTTGGTATTCTCTAAGCTGCCTTTTACTTTGTTGATAGTGTCCCCAGTTGCACAATCTGGGGTGTTTTTTAAAATGTAGACTGTAAAGTTTCATCATAAACCTACAGAATCAGAGGGTACCTAGAGGGTGAAGTATGAATATCCGTGTTTTTAAAAATTGTATCAGGTGATCATTATACCCCACTCTTTTAGTTGATGCCCTTAAGTTTTTGCTGACATTTAAAAACTTTTTGGGGGGACAAATTTTGAGAACAAAGATATCCTAATTCTTTCCTGAGGAAAAAAATTCTCACACAATTTTATCTCTTCCATGCCCCCAATAAAATTTCAATTTTATTGAAATTATGTGACATTTTAGCTCTTGACTGTTACTAATTTCTTCATGTCTCTTTGTATCTTAGGGAATTCTTTCAGTGAACTGCATTAAGCCTCTCAGCTGCACTATTAAAATTTTTTTAGACTTAACTAAAAATATCAGAACATTCTTTATCACTGATTTTTGGATATTTTTGCTTCTTTGTGTATAGGTTAATATTTCACGTATTGAATTATAACCTTGAGTAACATTTTTAGACATGAGCAATAAATTTTCTGAATTCCTTGGGTGTCAACAGTAGCTCTTATCTGCCACTACATAATCGTATTTTAGCCACTGACTACAACTGCAAATCAAAGTAATTTTCTTTCACAGATAGCCACATGAATTTTTTCACTTTGACAATTCTACTGTCATCTAGAATCCTATAATAGAGATGAAAAGTTTGCTCTTCAAAGTCTGATCTGCTGAAATGAGTCCAGTTCTCATTTCTTTGTTAATAACTTGTTTTTTTCCTTTTTGTTGCAGTTTTGATAAATCATTTTCTCCCTGTTTCTCACCCAGGAATCTTGCAGCCTTTCTCTTTATCTTTGAAAGCTAGCAATATTACCAAGATGTATGTTTTCTCTTTCTCTCAGTCAGTATTCCTACTTAGTTCTCAGTGGCCCCTCAAAATTAACAAAAAATGTCTATATTTATTGTGTCAGCAATTATTTCCCTGTCCTCTAGGCTCTCTGTTCATTATCTCTGGAACAGACAGATGATGATATCTGGGATTTTTCCTCAATTTCTCTTCACTCATATTTTCACATCTATCTGTTTCTTGACTTTATGTGATAAATATTCATGCCTTTCATCACCATATCAATCTACACCTTTACCCTCTCTATTTTATTATTCAGACCTTCTACTGAGCTAGTTTATTTTGGCAATAGCTTCAAATTCTAAGAACTATTTTTGTTCTCTATGTACTTTTTCCTTAGTGTCCTATTCTCATTTTATTCCCTTCGGTGTCTCTCACCTTGGCCCTTTTCTTTCATGTGGCTAGTTTTAGTAAAATGTCCCATAATTCTTAGTTTCCCACACGCAATTCACAGGAGGACCGCTGGAAAGCGGGTCTGTGTTTCCACACAGGTAAGGTCTATTTAATCATCTCCTTCTTCATGTCCTGCAGAGATCTGGGAGTGCTTCAGGCTCGGCTCTGCTTTATAAGCTGGTTCCAATACCCATTCTAGGAACCTTTCTACAGTCAGTTTCTCACCTATTAATAAAATTTGTAAAACTATTTTTTTCAGCTCTAATCAAAGAGGACCTATAACGGCCAACCCCTCTGTGAGTATGAGTTATGGGAGAGAAGTTTGTATTAGAATCAGCATGTTAATTAACTTCCCAGAAGGATGCACTTTGTCTGCTCTCACATCCTGTAGTTACTAACCCCATGCTTGAGATTTCTGTATTCTTTCCTGCAGACTTTAGATTGCAGTTTTTCTTTGCTGATATCTTGATCACACAGGTTCTATTTGATTTCTTTCTTCTAGTAGGTTCTCAAAACTTCTGATCTACCAATAGAAAACTATCCCAGTTTCTTGGAGTCTTATGGATTTATTCTTTCTTCTTAAGCCATTTCTGTTATGTTAGTGGGATTTTGAGATGAATGGAAATAAATGGCTAATACTGGCTTGCTATTCGGATTAAGAATTTCAGGGTTATCTTAAATAGAAGTTTTCACAAGGTTTCCCCTTCCTTCTAATCCTAGGCATATTATAAGCAATCTTAAAAGTTCAGAAATATTCTTAGATTAAAAGTATTTGCAGATTACTTTAAATTTTTTTAGTTAGTGTTATACCTGTCGATGGCTTGAAGATCATTGGCAGGGTTCCAAGTGGGATCAAATAATACAACAACATTGGCACCAACAAAATTGAGGCCTAGTCCACCAGCCCTAGGGAAAACAGAAAAAAAGCATATTAAAACAGCAAAACGTAATTATTATGTTATAATTCAATTATGCCAGATTTCTAAAACCAAAACAACACAATACTGCATTAACTTCATGAGGGTAAGATGATTAAATCACAAATATGTCACAAATGAGATATCTATGGCATATTCTTTTTCTACTATTTTAGAACATGTACTCTAGAAAATCCCTTTTAAAACTGGCCATTAGAGCCCATGTAAATAGGTAGTGCTAGTTTTTACATTTTTTTGATACTCAAATACTATTTGTGCAAGATTTTCCTAGCATAATTTTTAAAAACAGTACATTCTAGCTAAATAAAGTGAAAACGTTAAAATTTCCAATTCAGGTATTCCTCTCACTAAGTGTGGCTAAAACCCTGCATATTATTTGTAAAACAAACATAAGACTCTGAAAGGTGAAGAGCAGACAGACAAGCTGAGGACTGCAAGACCTAAAGAATGACATGGCTGGGAGTTCCCTGGCCTTCTTTTTGCTTAAAATATCCCACACAGAGTTCTGGAGAAGCCAGTGAACTGGAAATGCCAACAGTCAGAGATTTTTTTTTAAATGCCCCCAGAAGGGTCTTTTCTCTTTATCCAAAGCAGCAGGAAAGGTGAGGTCTCGCAACATAGAAAAATGTTAGACAATAGCCACCCTACTCCTGCCAAAAATGAAGGAACAATCTGTGGCCCTATCCTAGTCAGCAAAGGCTGAGTGGAGGATGCTAGACTTTCACCCTTGCTTGACTATAACAAGGCACCACTCTTCCTTGCTGGGATGGTATCAGAGAAGAATGAGTGAGGAGCTAGAACTTTGACTTTCTGTCCAATGGTAACAGGGTGACAGGGAAGGCCTTGTGGTGACAGCGGAGGCCTTGTGGGAACAGTAATAAAGCATCTCCCTCTCAGGGTATCAGCAGAGGCTGAAGACAGAACTTATATTTCCACCTCCACTTGGCTAGAGAGGAGGCGTACTAAAATAGAAGATTAAATAAGATAGAGTTTCATGACATAATACTGAAAATGTCCAGGATACAATAAAAAAAATCACTATACTAAGAACCAGGAAAATCTCAGCTTGAATGAGAAAAGACAATCAATAGATGACAACATTGAAATGAATCATGTTGAAATTAACTGACAATTTTAATACAGTCATCATAAAAAAGTTTCAACATGCATGAAACAAACTTTAAAAACAGTCTCAGCAATGACAGAGAGGATCCAAAGAAGAGCAAAATGAAAATTTTAGAATTGAAAAATATATGAAATATAAAACTTGCCAAATGAGCTCAGCAGGACAGGGAGGTGACGAAGGGTAGAATCAGTAAGGGTGATAATAATCAATACTATTTACTAAATCTGAACAACAAAGAGAAAACAGACTAAAAAAAGAAAAGAAAATGAAAAGAGCCGTAAAAGACTGAGAACCAATAACAAAAGAGCTAACACTCACATCAATGGAGTACCAGAAAAAGCAGAGAGAGAGAGAGAGGGAGAGATTTCAAAAGGACTCAAAAATATGGCTGAAAACTTCCCACGCTGGCAAAAGACATAAACTTACAGATTCAAGAGGCTGGATAAAACTCCAAACAGGAAAACCCAAAGAAATCCATGCCAACATACAATTAAACTTCTAGAAACAAAAGGAAAAAACCCCTTAAAGACAATGTGAGAAAACCTGCATCATTTTAAGGGATGTAGCAATTCAATTGACTAGATTTCTCATCAGAAACCACGGAGGCCACAAGCAAATGGCACATCATTTCTCAAGTGCTGAAAGAAAAGAACTGTCAAGCCAAAATTATATATTCAGCAAAAATATCCTAGAGGAAAAGAGAAAATATTAACCTTCTCAAACCAAAAGTAAGAGAATTTATCATTAGCAGACTGAACCTAAAATGATGGGTAAATAAATTTCATTAAACAGAAAGAAAATGATAAAAGAAGAAAACCTGGAACTTCGGAAAAGAGAAACATCAGAATGGGTTAATATAGGAGTGAATATAAAAACCATTCTACTTCTCATGAGATTTATACATCATATTTTATGCTTAAAGGAAAACTGTAACATCATCTGATATGCTGCTCAATGTATGTAGAGGAAATACCTAAGACAATTATATCTTACAAGTGGAGTAGGAAAAGAGACTTAAGTGTAAGTAAGGTTTCTGCATTTTATTCAAACTGGTAAAACTGTATACCAGTAGAATGTGAAAAGTTACCATGTATACTATAATACTTAGAGCAACCACCAAGAAAGCTATACAAAGTAACATTCTTAAAAGCATTATAAGAAAATAAGTATAGAACCCTAAAAAATTATTTAAATAAGAGAACAGTGGACAAATAAATAGGAGATAAACAGAAAAAAGTAATTACCTTAAATGCAATGACCTACATATACCATTTAAAATCAGAGCTTGGCAGAGTGGATTTTTAAAATGGTACAAAGATATGTTGTTTTCAAAAAAACACTTTAAATATGATGACATAGGTAGGATGAGAGTAAAAAGAAAACATGAAGAAAAAATCAGGGCAGGTTATATTAATATTAGTCAAAGTATACATCAGAGCAAAGAAAATTACTTGAGAAAAGAGATAATATATGATAATAAAAAGATCAATCTACCAGGTAAATGCATCAAAACGACAAAGCTGAAAGATAAAGTCAGACTAACAACGCTTAAAGAGAAAGTTTAAAATGTACAGTTACAGTTGAGAATTTCAACACCTCACACTCAGCAACAGATAGAATACTAGAGAGAAAATCAACAAGTGTATAAAATAACAAAACAACCAACCAACAGAATTTAATATAGAGAACACTCCAACTAAGAACAGCAGAACACACACTTTTTCCTAGTGCCCACAGAACACTTACCAAGATAGATCTGGGTCATAAACCAAACCTCAACAAATTTCAAAAAACTAGTCATACTGAGTATGTTCTCTGACCATAATGGAGTCAAACTAGAAATAAGTGACAGGAGAACAACATTAAAAAAGTTCCAGCCCTTAACTGTACCCCACAAAACCATAATAAAAAATATTGATTTAAAAAAAAAAAAAGTTCCAAACACTCGGAAATGTAAACAACATACATCTAAATAGACCATAGGCTAGAGAGGAAATCTGAAAAGACATTTTAAAATACAAATTGCAATAAATAATAATAATTTAATAAAAAAGAAAACACAACATGAATGGACATAACATGGACTTAATATACCCAATGAGCAGCCATTTTAACATTGCCTAAATCTCATGTTTTTCTGGCAGTTCATTTAACTTACTCTCTAATCACTAGCCAAGGACAGAACTGGTTTCTCAGAGGTAGCTATTGATCATTGTTTTAAACCTCCCTCCCCAGCTTGTTTTGTACTAATTAGCTTTTCTGTTTCAAGTATTTGTTTCCACCCATAAGACCCAAGTTAACTTAAGCAGCCCCTCATGACCTTCGTGACACAGACAGACCCCCTCACCATGGCAGCAAGCATGCAACGAACCCACTCATAACCTGATACAGTACCTGCACTTCGCTGTCCCCTCTGTGATGACGTGAAGCCGATTACCACCCAACCACCATAATGACCTGCCCCCTTCAAGGGGAATGTTTAAAAGAATTCAACCTCAAGCATCCATTCGCCATTGCTTTACTAAACTCTGGTGTGGCCATGTGCTCTTTGAGCTATGGCTGCCACCATGTTTCCTAAACTTTGGCCCGCTCTCCTACCTTGGAGAGATGAATCTCTCCAAATATACTGTATTTTCTAATCTAACTTTTGTGCAATTCTTTGCATCCTTCTTGTGGCACCAGATGGCACAACACCACCACAGCAGGTCTGATCTAACATTTGAGGGCCCCATGGGGGATGAAAAAATATATATATTAACCTGACGCAACAAATCACAATATGTTCTATGTAGCTAAAGCAGTGCTTAGAATACCTACATCAGAAAAGGATAAAGGTTTCAAACAAATAATCTGAAGTCCTACCCCAAATACACTAGACGAAGAGGAGAAAAAACTAAAGCAAGCAAAAGGAAGGAAATAGTAAATATGAGGAGAAATCAACAAAATCGAACACAGGAAAAAAATCAATGAAAGAAAAAGTTGCTTCTCTGCTAAACTTCCAATGAGAATGACAAAGATAAAAAAAGAATATACAAATTACCAATATTAGGAACAAAACTGTGGATATCACTACAAATCCTACAGCAACTAAGAGGAGAAGTGGATACTGTAAAGCCTCTATGCTCATAACTGACAAGTTAGAAGAAATGGACCAGTTGCTCAAAAATTGCAAACCACCAAACTCAACTAAATGAAATAGACAACTTATAAGTTCTATAACCATTAAAGAAATTAAGTATGTTTTTAAAAAGCTCTTAGGAAAAAAAAATCTCCAGGCCCAGATGGTTCCATTAGAGAATTTTACCATTTACAGAAGAATTAACACCAGTTTTACACAATAAGCTCATGAAGCGATTTCTGGATCATTAGCCCTTAGGGAAATGCAAATTAAAACCACAATAAGGCGGGGCCGGGGGTTAGATTAAGATGGCTGACAAGAGGCAGTTAGAGTGTGTTTCACCTATGGAGTAAAGCGATGTAGGAGGTCTCCTCAGCACTCAGAGAGGAATAAACAAGACCAGCGCAAGTCCCACCGCTCTCCAAAGATGTGGTAGAAACCACAGAGTGCAAAGAAGAGGAAGGCCCATCAAGCCGGGCTGGACCAGTCAGAGTCTCACCTGTACCCCTCGAGTACACCACAGCCGCCCAGCGCGGCGGGGAAGGTAAGGGAGGGGAACTCCGGAGTTCTGTGCTCCTGCTGCAAACTTGCAGGCCCCCTGAATCCTGTGGGGCTCCAGCCTCTCAGAGAAAAGTGCTCTACCCATAGCCCTGCTCTGCCAAAGCCTGGGCAGGCTTTGCGAGCACCCCTGAGGCCCGGCGGCCGCCGCACTCTGCAGGGCGAA